GCCCTCCAGTTTCTCTGTGTAGCCCTGGCCTCAACTCAGCGATCTGCCCACTCTGCCTCCCGAGTGCTGGGATTAAAGGCATGTTCCATCATGTCTGGCTTCATTAGCTGATTTTTTTTTTTCCTTCTCTTAGAGTGATTCATCTTAGCTGAATGTGTGCTGTAGTTTGGCTAGAGCTTGTGGCTTGAAAGGCTATGTGTCTGGCTCTCTGTGAACTTAGGAGGTGGTGGGCTTTTAAGAGGCAAGGCCTTTGGGGAGTGTGGTGGAGTACTTCCCAGGTAGGAAGCAGGCAGTGAGAGGCAGAGGGGAGGATGTCTGTATCAAATAATATTTGCCAGACAAGACAGGGTAGTAAGTAACTCACGGCTGCTGTGACTGCACTCACAAGGCCTGCACAGGACCACACCAACCAAACTCCCCGCATGGATGCGGGAGGGGTTCATGAAGGCCCACCGTTAGCTGAGGATGGATCCTTTGGGAGAGCTCAGTGCTCAGCTGCTGGGCCATGTCTCCAGGCCCTAGGCCACTTTTACTAAAAGGCATCCACTGAAGCTGCCACCAGACCCAGCGACCTGGTGGGTACTGGGTGGGCAGAACTGCTTCTTCTCAATTGCACTTTCATCTGTTTTCGAGTGCGTGGTCAGTGTAAACAGGAAACGTAAGAGACTCCGGGGAGGGCGGCTATTGCTGGTACGTTGGTTTTAATTTCAAAAAAGGGAGATTTGATGCTGACAGCTGGGCTGACAGCAGCTTGGGGAGGGGCTAGAGTGAGAAGGGCGCCCAGGCCACACCCTCCCGCCAGGACATCTGGTCCCAACCAGTCTCTCTGGGAGGACAGCTGTCAAAACACAACTGGGTGAAGACAGCGACAACCCACCAGACTGCAGGGTGGCACTGTGCCGTGGAATGCCTGTCTGGGTCTCAGGGACCAGGTGCCCTGTAGGACCAGGGCAGCCACGCTGGTTCCTGATCGCCTGGGTATGCTGCTAGAAAATCAAAGGCGGAATCATTTCATGGTGTTAGGAATCTGGAAAAATAAAAAATCATCTCAGCTAGAAAAGGAACGTCCCATTGGAGCCAGCCAGAGGATGAGAAGAGCGGGGAGCGGTTTTGGTGCCATTGAGGCAGGTGGCCCAGTGAAGTGGTCGTGGGTGAGTGGTGGTGATGCTGGGGTCACCTGCTGTGGGTACAGTGTCCCCTCAGTGCTGGACCACAGACTCCCATCTTGCTGTGGCCACGAGAGCCGTCCACTTCTTCCAAAATCCTCTACACGGATTTTCCTTAGTTTGTGCTTCCCTTTGGTTTGACACGTAAGAAGACAGGGACATGGTTCTTTGTCACTTGTCCAAGACTGAGAACAGGCGAAGGCAGGTGTCAGGCTTGGCCTGCAGTGGCCCTTGTGGCGGTGCTCGGGGTATGGGGCCAGGCAGGCTAGGCACCACCGCTGGCCTCACTTCTGTGGTGGAGGGACAGGGACAGAGGCTGGAGATGGTGGCTGCCACGCCCCCCCCCCAACCTCTCTCCATCTGTGGCAATACACAAGGGATGGACAGGCCTGACTGGCGGATGACACAGGAAAAACAGCAAAATTCTAACTCGTTCCATCTCTGAAGGTGGAAAAGATCAGACGGTTACTAAAATAATCATTTTCTCAATTGTGTCCGGGTGGCCATATCCGAGCAGCGGAGGGAGGTGGGGGCTCGCCCGGGGCAGGCACAGTCAGCTGGGCTGAGCCAGGCTCAGAATGGGCGGTGGCGGCGGCGGCCTTGTCCTCACAGGAGGCTGCACCGGAAGAAGCTGGTCCTCTTCTGCTGCTCCACTGTGATCTTGACCCCATGGTTGCTTCCCTGCGGGCTGTTCCCTTCCTGGAGTCACAAGTGTGCCGTGTTACTTACTGTGGACTGTCAGCACCACTTAGAACCTGCCAATCATCCAGTCTGTCTGCCCACCACTGTCCACCTAACCACTCCGGCATCCATCACCCCAGATCCAATCACCCGTTAGCCATCCATCCACCCACCCATCCACCCACCCATCCATCCCACCATTCAACTATTCCCTACTAACAACTCCAGTGCCCATCCATCACCCTTCCCACTCATCTACATTGATCCCATCCACGCAAACGCTTGCAGTCACCCATCCTCTTCCAATCATCCCACTATCTCCTGACAGTTCATTCACCTTCCATAAACTCAAGACCCATCTTCATCTGCTTTCCAGGATCCCCAGGCCTTCACCCTTTCTTCCCCCTCCCCACAAACACCCACACACCTCTCTCCACACTTTTTTGTTCCTTGTTCCCTCCGGGTATTGAACTGAGGACCTATTGGATACTGGTCCTTCCAAGTGGCTCATCCAGGAGTCACATCCCCCAGCAGTACAAACCATCTTGTTCTCTCCTCTGCCCTCCCTTCATTCCTGCCCCTTCCATCTGTTTACCCATCTATCTATGCTAACCATCCCTATGTCTATCGTGGAGGCAGCCGAGAGGCAGGGAGACAGTGTCCCTCAGGGCCTGGGAGGTATGGGCTCAGAGGTTTCTGCCCCCTGTGCCCCACTGGTGCCCAGGTCCACAGGCTGCCAGAGACATAGGACCTAAATTCCAATCTTTCTCTTACAAAGAAAGCTCTTAAAAAATACATTGATTTATTTGTGCATGCATGTGTGCTCTTACACACACGAATGTGCACGTGCAGGTAGGAGAACAGCCTATAGGAGTCAGCTCTTTCTTCCCACACACCGAGTTATCTTGCCCACCCAGGACGCCAATTCTGACCATGTTAGGTTGAAGTAAAAACAAACATACAAACAGCAGGCACACAAAGCTGCAGGAGCTGTATGCTGCACCTGTCTGGTATACTGGTTTACAGGAATGCTGCTGTTTGGACGTAAGCATCGAGGAGATGCCGCGGAGATACCTTGAGCCTCAGCGGCCACTCACAGCCCAGGATGAGCGCCGCAGGAGCCGTGCAGGACGGGCAGAACTTCACCTGAGCTGTCGAGTACCTCAGGACAAGCACTCTCTGCCCTCTAACCACACAGGCGGGTCTGGGGAAGGGCAGGTGCTGGAGCTGAGGCTCCTGAAGCAGGGACACATTGTGTCCCCCATGTCCCAGGGTTCAGTGACATGCTCAGCTCAGGCAGGAGAGCTTGCTCTCTTTGCTCAGCAAGAGTTTGACCTCCAGCACCCACATCAAAAGCCAGGTATCAGGGCTGGAGAGACAGCTCAGCAGGTAAGACCACTGGCTGCTTTTGCAGAGGACCTGGGTTTGATTCCCACACCCATGTTGTACAGCTTACAGCTGCCTGTAACTCCAGATCCAGGAGAGCTCATGCCCTCTTCTGGGCTCCGAGGGCACTAAGCATGCACATGGTGTGCGGCTATTCAGGCAGGCAGAACACCAAACACATATAAAAACAGTGAAATAAAATCATGAAACAATAACAAAACAAGTCAGTGCTTGTATGGTGGTGCTTAAATCCCAGTGTCAGGGCTGGGGAGACAGGAGGGTCCTGAGGCCGTCCAGAATCCCAACCTAACCAGATGGCTCAACGTTCAGTGAGACCCTGTCTCAAAATCTAAGGTAGGAATCGAAGGAAGACGATACCTGATACACACACACACACACACACACACACACACGAGGATGGTAGACCTGGGCAGTGATGTACTGCCCTGGTCAAGGATGGTTGCATCCTACAGAACCCCACGTGGAGACCTGGGAAGCACCCGGACTCACCAATTTTTTGTCCATTTTTGCTTTGATATCCCTGGCGAGAGTGAAAAATGCCTGTGGAAAGAGCAGGCTGTCAGAGCCCTCTAGTGGTGGAATGTGGCTGGCTGGAGGTGAGGGAGAGGTGCCAGCTAGCCTTTTCTCCTGTTCCCAATTAGGCCCACATCTGTCGCCCTCTGTAAGCACCTTGGGGACAGAGGCCTGCTGTGTGGCCACCTCCCCTAGACCAACAATCCTGTGAGCAGGAGTGGGCATTATACTCAGTTGGTCCTTGACACGGAGTAGTCAGAGGTCCCGAGTAGTTAACTGGTTCCCAGGGGTCTGGAGGACCTGGAGTAGCTACCCCTGGCTGTGTCTGCCCATGCTAATCCCCTACCCTTTTATTTTAGAGAAGTTCTCTCCTAGCCCAGGTCGGCCTCAAACTCCTGTTTCTCCCGCCTCTACTTCCAAAGTACCAGGTTGACAGATGTCACCTGAGGATACACAGGTGTCACCAGCAAGCCTGGCCCCTCCTCTCTCTTGAAAAACACCTACAAATGCCAGTCTGCTTGCCCACTGCCTCATGGAGAGAACATGCAGAGGCAGACTGGATTTCCTATCTCTGTGCAGGGTTGGTGAATTGGGAAGTGGTGCCAGGAAAGAGGGCGTGGAGGTGTTGCCCTTGGGTGGTGGGCCTGGCCAGGGAAGGGAGAATCTGATAGCATGAAAAGGGAACGCAGCAAAGGCTGGGGAGGGTGGGCCCATCCGGGTGGTTTATGGGGGGGGGGGCAGCAAGGTGGGCAAGGGCCTTGGCCAATGTCCTCTGGGTATCTTATGGGGTGATGTAGATGATTTAGTTTTTTGTTTGTTTCTTGATATGGTCTTGCTGTGTAGCCCAGGCTGGCCCCAGCAATCTTCCTGTCTCAGCCTCCTGAGAGCTGATTACAGGTAGTTCTGCAGATCTGTTTTTGAGTGTCGTTAGGCTGTGTGGGAGAGGTTAGGGGCAGGGGCCAAGCTGGCACTGCCTTGGAGATGGCATGAGGATCAGGGCACAGCTGTGGGACCTGGCTCCCTACTGGGGCTGTGAATTAGCAGTGTGGCTGAGATGAACGCAGCTGGGCCTATGTACGGGGTCGGCTGGAATATGAGCTGCAGTTTTGGTCGTCTGCTGAGAGCCAGTGACATGTGTCCTGAGTGCCCAACAGAGGGCGCTGCAGAGGCCCCATTGGCATCACTGGACTGG